GCTGTGGTCTCATGGTTGGGACTAGCATCAGGGATAGAGATGGAAATTAGGGGTTCTAGGGTCTGCTGCTTTTAATCTTCAGGTGATTTTGTCTCCACAGGTTGGGGTTATTGCTAGAAGGTGGATTTCTTTTGGGTCCCTTAAGAGTTGGATAATGAGGTCTTACATATATCCTACTCCAGGACACTCATAGTATCTAAAGCAAGGTCCCCCCTGCCCCTGAATCAACAATCAGAAAGGTTTCCTAGGTAGAGCCAGGTTGGTCAGCAGGAACTCTCGAGCCAAGGGTCTAATGCAGAAAAAGATGACTTTGCTTCGGGGAGTCTGCAATCTGACACAGGCAGAGGCCTAACCTTAGAGGGGCCCTTGTGTAATGAAGCAGACAGGATGTCCTCCAACATCACCACTGCATAGAGCATCCTGGGCAAAGTTACAGACACAAGGGACAAGGGACAATCAGGATGCTGAGGAGAAGAGGGTACAAGATGACAGAGCAGATAGGGAAACAGAGGAATGGAGATTGGCAGGAAGGGTAGGACTAGGAATAGCCTGTGTGAAGGCCCAGAGTGGGAGAAAGAGTGTGGCTCAGAATTGCCATTGAATATATTCCCCTGGAACAAGATCTGACTAAAGCAGTCCCCCAAAATGGGGGTGCTTGAGGAGACAGGGGGAAGGTTTACAAAAGTATCTTGAAGACTATGATTGGGAGTTTTCATCTGAAAACCAATAGGGATATATAGGTAGGAAAGGAGCAAGATAAAACTGATTCTTCATGGTGACAATTTCAGGGACAATTCTGTGGTAGAAAGGGAATCAAGGAAAGGGACAGGCTAACGTTAGGGAGGTCATTATGTGGGCATCCCAGCCCATAATGAGATGGACAAGCTAACAGAAGGGGAGAGCACATACACCTGAGAGAATGTGTGAGAGGGGGGGAACCTAGGCAGGGAGAGGAACAGGCAGGGTCATTGAGGAGAACAGGTGAAAGGCAGGATAGAGAAGCTGAAAGAGAGAAGTTGTGCAGAATGGTGAAAGAGACTATCTAAGCCACAGGGGTGTCAAACTCATTTTCACTGGGGCCACATCAGCCTTGCAGTTACCTTCAAAGGGCCAAATGCAGTTGTAGGACTGTAGGACTGTAGGACATTTATACAGTCCTACACTCCTTAACTAGGGGCAAGGAGCTCAGCACTGCTGCCCATAGAAACAAGGTGCCAGGCCAGATAAAACAAAATGGAGAGCCAGATTCGACCTGCGGCCCTTGTGTTGGCCACCTGTCATCTAAGGGAAGAAGTTGAACAGCTCAGTTATTGAATCCAAGTTGAGGTAAGATGTCTGCTTGGTGAAAACTTCAGAAGGAAGAGGCTATAAGTATGGAGACCCAGGGCCTGGTGCCTGGGTCAGCCTGTTGGAATAAAGATAGGAAACTCATCTTAAACTACATGATAATTCTCCCACCTTCCCAAACTCTAGAACTGTGGGGGGATGGTGACCTAGGACCTCAGAAAAACCACAGTGAAAGGCTGTGGTGAGGCACAGGAGCCAGGAAAGATGACAGAGTAGAAAGAGTCAGAGTACTTTCTCCAATCTAAGCACCATTCCAAGCCCTTTACAAATATTGACTCTTTCAGTCCACAACTATTATTAGCCCCATTGTAAGGATGAGGAGACTTGTGTAGCTAAGTGGTAAAACCAGGATTTAAACCCAGGAAGTCTGACTCCAAGGCTATGCTCTTAATCACTCTGTCTACTGCTTCTCAGGCAATGCCAGAGCAGAAAGGACTCAGGGAGAACACTGTGGCATGGAACAGCCATTCCAGAGAGGTCTCAACAGCTGCCACAATAATCCCTGCACTTATCTGAGCTTCACAGCTCACCTCAGAAGTCTACTGATGGGCTTTTTTGTTCTGGAATTTTTGGTTTTGTTTTTGTGCAGAAGGTGGTCTTCCTTTCTTTCTCAATCCTTATTTTAGATTTCTTTCCTTTTATGAGAAGTGGTTTCTGAAATCTAACCTAAGTTCCTCAAACTGCAGCCTCACTCCTTTCCCAGATCCTCTGCCATTGGAAGAGAAGCAGATGGTCATTGTACGCCCCTTCTATGTTTCACCTTTTTAGAGGCCTGAAGTGTTAATTCAGGTCTCTCGGGGTCCAGCTTCTTGAACCTCTTTCTGCAAGCCACATAGTTCAGTTTTTACTTGTCTCCCACATTCTAGAGTCAGCCCCTCCCACTTCCCCACCACCTCAAATCCAGCTCCAAGCTGGCAGACACCCACGGGAGAGTTTTTCCCACAATCCCTTTCTCTTTGCTCTTTCAAGGTTCTGATGGGGGGAGGGGATAAAGAGGGGACACTTAGATGCACTGTCTCCATGAAGAATGATGGCAACACATACATTAAACTCAGATGAATGAATATTAGCCTGTGGTAGAGTGGGGTGATATGTTAAACTCAAAAAGCTCTGATTCCCAGCAGCTGCCCAAGCCAGCCACCTTTCACTGGGTGCTTTTAAAACACTTGGATTCCAATCTCACTGTTTCTTCTCAGTGGTGTGCCTCGTATGATCCCTTCTCTCTACCTCCTTCCAGGGCCTCACCACTGTCCTGAACGTCTTGGCCTCAGACTGGACAGTAACACTGACCAGTCAGGCAAGAGAAGAATCTAGGCCAGGGAAGGGAGGGAGAGTGGAGGTTTTTTCTTCTGTCCTAAATAACCCTTGGCAGGAGAGTTGAGGAGTGCCATTGCCCAATGCCTCTTTCCCTCCCCACCAGGGGGCTCAGCCTATCTTTCATATTGTTCACATATTGCTAGGAGACCCAGAAAGCCTTTTTCCTCCGAGGAAGTGGGAGTTCCCACATGACTCACCCCTCAGAGCCCTAAACCCCTTATTCCACCACTCACAGGATGACCACAGGGGACTTCACCTGAGCACACTCAGATCCATGTCCCAGCCTCTCTGGTCCTTATGGACAGCAAGGGAAGGAGGCCTCTGGGTCTTCTGCCAGGCTTTTTCCTTGTAGCCCAATCCAACCAGCCTGGGGCTATAAATGAGCTCCTGTACAGAAGGTAGCAGGTGCTATTCACTGAGGCACAGGGATGAGATGGAGGATGCCAAAGGGTAGACACAAATTACATATGTCAATAGACTGGATGTTCAGGTGATGTTGAGGAGATATAGAGTTTTTCCTCAGGGTAGGGGCAGCAGTGGGATTGTGCATTAGAACCACAGAAGTAATGGAACCATAACCCTGCCTCCCCCCTCCACTCAGTAGTCATTGCCATTTGATATCCACTGCAACAAGTTGGCTGCTCAGACTCTGGGTGGGGGCTGGGGGATGGCTCAGAAAACAGCAGCTCCTTTCAGGACCCAGGTTGGCAAGGCCTTTGGGAGGCTGGACTGGCCCAGATCACCCCCCACACATCCCCTCCCTCCCTCCTCACCACCACCAAAGGACTGGGGGGGGAGGGGAGGGGCAGAGTGCAGGGAGGGGTTGGCACTTCCTGAGCCATGCCTATTGCCTCTACAGACCAGCCCTGGCCCTTCTTCCTGGGGTAGTGCCTTCCCTCCCCCTCCTTCTTCATTTTCTTCCTCCATGAAAAACTAGCTATGAGCCAGGACACCTGCTTCCTTCTACTTGGTCCCTCATACCCTGCCTATACTCTTAGGAATTAAAAAGCCCCACTCCTCATCACAGGATGGTGGCCTCCATCATGCCTGAAACATGTTTAGAAATCTTTGGAGATCAGAAAAAGGGTTTGGAGATGAAAGTAAAGGGAATTCAGTGGTGGCTGCTTGTCCCTCCTCAGGCTGGTCTTGACACCCACTCCAGGCCCTCCTCAGCACACTTAAGCAATGAGCATTCCTCATAGAAGGGCACCAAATCTCATATCATCATCTTCTTCCCATACAGAACTGCCTAAAAGCAGTCCTGGTGGGGGGAAAAAATTCAAACCCTGCAACCAAGGCAGACCATCAAAAAATCTTTAGCCAGAATTTGTATTGATGAGCAACATAATCAGGCTTGAAGCTGTGGCCTTCTTTGGGTCCAAATTCATACTGGTGTCCCCAGCAATCCCAGTTCACCATCTCCCTCAGTCTGCCTGGGGTACTTCATTAACAAGAATGAAATCTCAGGATAAGAGAGGCCCTAGTCCCACTTTTGCCCAGCTTTGTCCTTCTCTCCACCCCAGGGTTCAGCTCTCCTCCCAGTCCCCCCAAATCAGGAAGTTCTCTTACTTCTTTCCTTACACAGGTGCCCTTGGTTAGTTCCTGTCTGGTAGAAGGAATGGGAAGGGAAGGTCATCTCCATCTGAAGGTGAATGTTAGAGTGCAATCTGCCCTTCTTCCTCTAGCTGGAGTGGCCCTACTGCTTTCCTCTTGGGGATCTTAGTGTGAAACAGCTGGGGGAGTGGAGTAGAAATGAGGAGGGGTATCTTGAAGTGGAAGGCAAGTAGGAACGGAGGGAAGAGACTGGGTGGGCAGGGGTCCTAAGCACACCAGGTTACTGAGGATCGCTAGTTCAAGTTGTGTTTTTCCTTCCATGTGTGAACTAGTGGTAAGTGGGTGTTGCTATGTGAGTGTCACTGTCTAGGGAGGGGGCAAGGGCTGGGCATGGGAGTGGGAGTAACTTGAAGATCCTGGGAAGAGGGGGCACTGTCTAGAGTGCCAGTGTGGGAGTGCATGGTTGCAGGTGGTGGTCACTGTATTTGTTGCAGGAGCCCCGATGCAACTGCAGGGCTGCCCAGTGGGAAGGAGCATCAGGAAAGCCCCTTCCTTAGCCTAAAGGGCTGAGGTAACCAACTTGGCTTACCTTCTGGGAGCCCTTCCCAGGGGCATCAGTGTGGGGCCGCCTAACGTGGGAGGCTGAGGAACAGAGCCATCCCGCTGAGACCAGCCAGGGTAGAGACCGAGGGGCTTGGGGCTCCAACCTTCCTGGAGAGTAAGGAGGACAGGACACCGGTCGGGCGGTAGCACTCCCTCCCTCATTAAGGCCAGGGGCTTACCTTGGGTCCTTGTGGAGTGGCCCTTCAGATGGGCAGCAGGACTGACAGATGGACGGGGAGGACAGGAGTGAGGAAGGAGCTGTGCGGCGCGCTGGGCCAGGACTCTTAAACCGGAGCTGGGATCAGATAAGGGCTGGTCCAGGGGCCGGGGCCGGGGTCGAGCTGGCTGGGGGCAGAGCTGGGCCGGGCGGGGCCGGGCCGCCCCCTCCCTTCACAACTCCGGAGCCAAACTTTGTGTGAATGGAGGGTTTAGAGTGGGGCCGGGAGGGCGGGGCGGGAGGCTCAGGACAAGCCAATGGGAGCGTGGAGCGCCAGGCCCGCGCTGCGTTAATTGGAGGGTCTCAGGCAGAGGGCGGGGCGAAAGGAGCGACTGTGCGGAGCCCAGACTGAGGGAGAGGCTAGGCAGAGCTCAACTCCAGAAGACTGAGAACCCGACAGGCTCGGGGGAAAGAGAGAAGAGACGATCCGCGAAGCGATAGAAACTACGCTGGCAAGATGACAGGGAAGAGAGAAGGAAGGAGGCGATCTTGACAGAGTGGGGAACCGAGCGGTGCCGACGGGGGCGGGCCTGGGCGGAGTTAATAAGGTGGAAATGAATTCAGGGCAGCCCAGTGGGGTAAACAAGGGGCTGCACAACTGGGGCTACAGGATTCTGTCTTTCAGCACAATTTCCTTGTGTTCTCTGTTCCCTAGGCACTGGGCGAAGTCCTGGATGCGAGATGCGCAAAACACCATCTCCGCCTGCAGCATCTGGGTCTGGAAAGAGAGAGGGGACGCTGGAGGCGGCAGAAAGTGAAAGATCGCTCTACTTAGGGGGGGTCCTAGCAGATGTGGGAGGACCCAGGTGACATCTAAAGAATGTGGAAGGCTCGGGTATTCGGAGATGACAGCGAGGGTACTTAAGGCAGAGGGAACAGCATTCACAAAATCCTGGGGGACATGAAAATACAAGTCTATTTGGGATAATGCAGCAACTGGTCCATTGAACGAGGACAGGGTGGTGGTTCTCAGCCTTTACATCAGCAAATGACTTCTCTCATCATCTAAATTTATGTTTTTTTAAATCTTAATTAATTTATTGGGGTGACATTGGTTAATAAAATTATATAGATTTTAATTGTACAATTCTATAGTACATCATCAATAAATTGTATGTGTGTTCACCACCAAAAGTCTTTCCATCACCATTTATCCCCCCTTTACCCTCTTATATCTGCTCTTACCCCCATTTCCTTCTCGTAATTACTATACTGTTGTCTGTGTCTAACAGTTTGTCTAACAGTTTCATTATTTGTTTTTACCCTTTTCACCCCACCCCCAAATTCATGTTTTAAGAGGTTTTTATTCTCAATCTACCCCCACTCTTGGTGTTTATTAAGGAAGAAAATAATTATTGCCCCATTTCTATTCATCATGAAAATTTAACTGCTAATCAGTAATCAGTATTACCATATTGAGTTGATGTATATCTTAAAATAAGAAACTTCAAATTTTAGCTTAGTGCAACCTCTAAAAGCCATATATGATGGATAAATGTACGTTTCAAATGTTCATGGTCAACTCTGAGCTTCTGAACAATAGAGAGCAATCACAGGGTCTTGGTGGGGGCGCTGGAGTTGGGGAAGCCATAGATGAATTACAGAAAAATTAATCAGGAGGCAAGCAAGATAGTTTGAATCAAGGGGAAACATGGCAGCAATCCTAGATTCTCCCTTCTTCTCCACCTTATTTACCTTATGTAATCAACACATTTACTTTTTAAAACACCTAAATCCTCCTCCTTTCTATCTATCATCATGGCTGTGGTCCAGGACACCATCACTTCTCACCAAGATTACTACCAGTATCTGGAAGATCACTGGTAGCCCAGGACCCTGACCCACTCTTCACAAAGGAAGTCTCAGAAGAAGAAGCAACCTGTGTTCATCACGTCAGTCCCTGTACCTTTGTATCAAAACCCCAAATGCTCCTTGCTTTGCGGTCACAGTCCAAACTCCTTAGCTTGACATAGGGTACTCCTCTGAGAGGGGAGGGAAGAAAGAATCAAATGGAAGGAGCAGAAAGAGATAATTTTTTATCATTTAAAAATTAATGTTTGAATACAGTTGTCTCCATTTTCCCACCATCACTTTCCCCCACCCCACCCACCCCCACCTCCTACCCTCAGTTCTACCCCCCATGGTTTGTCCATGGATCCTTTATACATATTTTTGATGACCCTTTCCCCTCTTTCTCCCATCCCCCCTCCAGCCACACTGATTACTATCAGTTTGTTATTAATTTCAATGTCTCTGGTTATATTTTGCTTGCTTATTTTGTTGATTAGGTTTCACTTATAGGTCAGATCGTATGGTATTTGTCCCTTGGCTTACTTCACTTAGCTTAATGCTCTCCAGTTCTATCCATGTTTTGAGGAGGGTAGGGGCTCCTTTATTTCTGCTGTGTAGTATTTCATTGTGTAAATGTACCATAGTTTTTTGATCCACTCATTTACTGATGGGCACCTAGGCTGCTTCCAGCACTTTGCTATTGTAAATTGTGCTGCTATGAACATTGGGGTGCATAGATTTTTTTGAATTAGTGTTTCAGATTCTTAGGGTATAATCCCAGCAGTGGAATTGCTGGGTCAAAAGGCAGTTCTATTTTTAGTTTTTTGAGGAAATTTCATACTGTTTTCCACAGTGGTTGCCCCAGTATGCATTCCCACCAACAGTGTACTAGGGTTCCCTTTTCTCCACAACTTTTCCAGCACTTCTTGTTGATTTGGTTATGATGGCCATTCTGATCAGTGTAAAGTGGTGTCTCACTGTGGTTTTAATTTGTGTCTCTCTGATGGGTAGTGATGCTGAGCATCCTTTCATACGTCTCTGGGCCCTCTGTATGTGCTCCTTAGAGAAGTGTCTGTTCAGGTCCTTTGCCCATTTTTTAATTGGGTTGTTTGTCTTCCAGAAAAAGATAATTTGAGGTGAAAGAGAATTCTCTGGAAAAATTCATTTCAAATGGCCTTTACTTTTTCTGTAGGGCAGAAATGTAATTTGCTAAAACTCAGGGTTAGGATGGGACCAGACAATTAGAAAGAGTTTAGATGGTCCTGACTGTTGTGGCTCAGTTAATTGAGCATTGTCCTGCAAAGCAAAAGGTTGCAAGTTCAGTTCCCAGTCAAGACACATGCCTGTGTTGCCTGTGTTTTGGGTTTGGTCCCCAGGCAGGGCCTGTACAAGAGGCAACCAATCAGTGTTTCTCTCGCTTCCCCTCTCTCTCTAAAATTAAATAAATAAAATATATATTTAAAAAGAGTAGATATTCAACAACAGATGGGGTTTGAGATGGCATAAAAAGTACACCGATAAGCTTGAATGGTTCCATGATTTTCTAATTTAGAAAGAGTGATATAAATTGAGTTTTTGCCACTGGCTGGTGTGGCTCAGTGGATTGAATGCCAGCCTGCAAACCAAGGGATCTCCAGTTCAATTCCCTGTCTGGGGCACATGCCTGTGTTGCAGGCCAGGTCCCCAGTGGGAGGCATGCAAGAAGCAACCACACATTGATGTTTCTCTCCCTCTCCTCCTTCCCTTCCCCACTTTCTAAAATTTAATAAATAAAATCTTTTTAAAAATAGAGGTTTTGTTCTTAAATTATGTCATTAACATATGTATATACATCTATCATACATAATTCCTTTGTACATAGCCAATGAGTTATTAACTTTTAATAGTTATTAACTTTCTCTTTCTATAAGAGAAATCCTAGAATAGTCACTAGGATCCCAATAGAAAATCAATGATAAAGGGTTTAGAAAATTTGTATTTGTGTTTATTATATAAGATAGGTATGTTATTTGAGATGGGAAAACTGAGGTTCAGAAGTGTAACTGGCTTGTCTGTGGTAACATAGCTAGAAAGTGTGAAATGTGGAACTTGAATCCACATGTGTTTGTCTTGGTAACATAGAATGAATCTACATGTTTTAAATATAATATTCATTGTAAACATGAGTACATGTTGGTATGAAAAATTTAGCAGGATTGTGATGTCCAGTGTCCACCATACAAAGTGACAGTTATGGAACCACCTTTCTTTGAGGACCTCCCTTCTTTCAGTTTAGCAAGTTGTGTCTTTCTTATTTTTGATTGCTCCAATCAGATTTACTCCTTCCAACTTTGGCCTTATCTATTCTTTCACTGTATTCATGATGGGACAGGGGTAAGTAATCTGTTCTAGAAGGAGAGTCTATGAGTGGGCAGCAGTATGAAAGACTTCTGCTGGACAGAAGGGATGATGGAAACTTTGGATCAGAAAGTATGATGAGGCTCAAAATAGGCAATAGTTCACAGTCATAGAAGCTGGCTGAAAAGAGTGACAATGTTCACTACTGAATTCCAAGGGACATTTTAGTGTTCAGGCCCCATAAAGCTGAACAATTCCCATGGGTAGTGGGGCACCTCAGAGCTGGATAATTCAGACCACTGAGGAGAAATCCAAGAGGGCCTGAGCTATATCTCCATAGTCACTAAAGATCATTATTTCAGTATACCACCTTCTTTCAGCAAATGCAATCTATACAAACACATTTATTAGATAAATTCGGGCATATTTAATCATATTACTAAAGGATTCTTTCCAGAATTTCTTCAACTATGTGGTTCCTCTAGTAACTTTCCAATTAAGTCCAATATATAAAATTTCATTAACACCCAATCTACCAAGGTAGGAAAAAGGCAACAGGAAATAAAGAAATGAAGAAATAGGACCTGAGAGGCCTGAATCTGAGTCCTGTCTATTCTCCTAGAACCCATCCCTCCCCTGTAAAATGAGGACTAATTTTAGACTGCCCCCAATGCCGTGACTTTTAAATCCTGATCTACCTCCACCCAATCGTACAAAGCAAGATAGTCTCATGTATGAGAAGTCTTCTTATCCTCTAGTTCCGCTGAAAACAGCCAAAAATCCAGCAAGCACCTCAGCCTCAGGAGCCCAGTGGGACTCTCTCTACCTTTCTTTGAGTTGTCCTGTGCTTCTCCCATATCACTCTAACCCCAGCCACATTCAGTGTTTCAACCATATCCTCCCTCTGCTCAGAGTTTTCTAGGGTCTCATCTCCTATGAACTTACAGAAATTTTTATAATCTACCATGTCAGCCTCACTGCTTCATTCAACTCATATCCTCAACCATCTCCTGTCTTCCCATCATGCTTTCTCCCCCACCTCTGAGCTTTTACCCAAGCTCAGTCTCATGATC